CTTTATTAAAGTTTATAAACATCTTAAAAATCACTTATTACATATAGCTGAGATTGATTTTATTATTACTATTATTTTTGCTCTCTTGGAGTGAATCAAATTATTATTAATTTAAATATCAAAATATCTATCTCAAAATTCAATCTCAAAACTTTACAAATCTATACGAAGAGAAGACTTAAACTAAAAGAAACTTAAAGGCTTATTACAATCACAAAACCATTGTCTCCATATATATATATATATATATATGCATATATAATTAGGAGGAAGGTGGGGGCCGGGCATGCACGCTTTGGTCTGGTATGTATATAGCATGTGAAAATATGTATTATTCTAAAAAAAAAACCCATGATTTGGACAAGTCAGGAAGGTAAGTCCCTGTTGTTCATCTGCAGGCCCATGGGAAATGTGGTGCCCTAAACACAAATCACTCTTCCCACTCTATCTAATGGGGGAAAGTAACACACCTCAAGTTCTGTTTGCCGGCCCCCACCACCAAATACTCTTTTTTTTCTCATTTTTTTCCTTCTTATAATAAAGATTTTTTACTACTTATTATTAAAAAATTATTATGTATGAAATATTATACTAAACTACATAATAAAAATTATTAAATAAAAAATATGCTCTCAATATTACTTAAAATTCTTCTCACTCAACAATTTTTATTTTACATATTAATATAATCTAAATAGTAAAAAATGAGATTGTTTTTGCTATATATTGTTTTTTAAGAGGGTCAAGCAAGACAAGGGAACAATGGTATCAATCTTAATCATCACTTTTCTAATCCTCCTAAAGCCGATGGACTGTAGAACCAAGTATGATTCCTAATTACTGAATGAAATGCACAAACAACAATGTGTAAAACTTTTAAAATGATTACTTTTTTTAAACATATTTTATTTGGGGGGTTTCCATTGGTGTGCATAATCAACATTACTTATCTTTAATCACCTTTAAAACTGTAAAGCCATGGCCTTTTGTTTATAATAAGTCGTAATCAACTTTAGTCAGCTTTTACTTAATCAATCAATACTATATGATAATGGATATACTGAATTAATTCAATGGAGTTCTCTTTATTCATTAGATCGCATAATTAATACTTATGAGTGTAATAACAGATCTAGAGGAGTAAAAAAAACATTGAAGATGACACTTAGAACACAAGGAAAACGACATGGTTTGCTGATTAAAAAAGAAAAAGGGGAAATGACACGGTTTTTCATTTTAAAACTACTTTGTGAATTAAAATTCCAATGAATTTTAATCTCCTAAAAAGTCAAAAAATTGACATGGTTGTTGGGTATTATTAATTAAACCTTAATTATTT